CCAAATAATTTTATTATACAAATAATGTAATATTATTATACTTATTATGGAACTACTCTAATATATGCCCTTGCTTGGTGGCGAGAATCTCCGCGATGCCATATTACCTAAATTTTTTGTCTACATTTCGAACTTTAAGCCTAAAATGTCTCCGAAAATGCAGTATTCGAACATGCAAAAGCCATGTTTCAAACTCACAATTTAAGCTAAAAATCCGAACAAAAACAAAAAATTTAGATAGCAAAAACGTAAAGATTCTAACCAAAAATATTTGACAAGAATCCATGTACAAAGTGATATGTTTTAACTTAAAATACATTACAGAATTGGACAATATATGCAGCGAAAGCATCTACGAACTACACATACCTCGCTTTAATAAACAAAACAGCAATAAATTTAAAAAGTACCATGTACACAGTGTTCTATTTAAACTTAAAAAAAAAATACGAATTCCACAATCTAGGCATTGCGCACTAATAAACTAAACTAAATTTCCAGCAATTAAAAAAAAAACAATAACGACAGAAATTCATACTAAAAAAAACAACGAACATAACATTCTACAAAATAAGAACAAGAATAAAATAAAATATCCTTACCATGAATGAATGCTTCTTCAAACAGCAGAAATACCAATTTCAAACATCACCAAAACAATTTCACCACAAATTTGTTAAAAGCATCTTCTTCCATTTCAGAACAACGATGGAAAAATATATAAACCAACAAATCAAACACAAAATTGCATTACCGATTATAAGTAGGCAATCTAGCTTTAACAAGCTGCCACATAATCTATATCATATTTATATGACAGCCAGACTTACTATCCACAAAACTGATACAATCAAAAGTCGTTAATTCGGACACCCATAATCCGGAATGATCTATAATCCGAACCTCAAAGCTAAAAACTTTCTGCGCATGCGCCGCTTTGACGCATAGGCGTTTAAGCGTGCACGTAAGACCTTTACGACTGTGCATTTGCATGTGCACAAGCGCAGAATACGTTTTCGCTGCGCATTTAAGGTATAACGGACAGTATAAGCTAAAATTATCTAATTGTCTATTTCAGTTAATGTTGATGATTGCGTTGTTCCTTAATCTTCGAATTGGATCCGGCTTATTATTTTTTGCAGACTGTAAGAGCAATTTTATAAAATTAAGCTTGAACTTTCGATTATGTCAAATAGAATTTCCGATACTGGAGCTCCCAAAGGATCTACGAAAACGAAAGAATGTTTCGATGTCCATCAAACAAAAAGTGGAATTGCTCCAAAAAATGGATAGGCATATCCTTTGTTTATCTAACCGTTCTGAAATCTGTTTATCAATTTCACGCTGCTCTGCGCGGGGGGGGGGGGGGACGTGGCGGCGCGCAATGAACTGGAAGTTGATCTGTCAACACTATCGTTATCTTCAGGGCAGATGTTTTTATTTTATTCGACTTATAATTCCTTATTAAATGTAGTATTTCATCTCGATGTACTTGGTCTTTGATATGATTTAAATCAAATTCCTCGTCATTATAAATATCACGAATACAAATCAAATAGTTTTCTGGTTGCAATTTTCTAATTTTGGCTATGCATAATGTATGCTTCGCGCATGCGCGCGTTGAAAGAAATGTTGGCTGATCTTTAGAATATGGTAACTGGTAGTTTGGCGACATTTTGGAGGCGATAAAAGTTACTACCTGAGACTTTCGTAATAATGTGAGCAGTACTCAGTTCCGATTACGCATTATTTTGTGTGAGGGAAATGAGAGATCATGGGATATGTCATGTGATATTAATGGACGAATTACGGTTCTTTAATCAGAAAAGGGGGGAAATCGGGAAAAAATCTGGAAATTTTGTATTTCGCTTTATTCTGTGTTGTGTGAAACAGTGTTCGTTAATTTTTGGATCCCATGGCCCTAACTAAAGTGAATTCGAAATGGGTATTTCGGGGGATTGAAAGGGGTAGTAAGAAGTGTTTCTTTAAGGTTGTGCGAGATAGAAGTAAAGATGTTTTATTAAGTTATTTATTTTACTTGGTACCTTGCTGTGAACTATAAGTATGATTTTAAAGATCCTGAAACAGGCGCACATACGCTTGCTTTTTATTTAGCGGATGAAATAAGAAAAGTTTATCGGACACGTAATGAAGATTCTGAAGAAGATTAGGTAAGTTAGTATTTTTAATTATTTGAGGATATTATTTTTATGCATTGTTCTAAATGTAAGGTGGAAGTAAAGTAATTTTATGTTTGTAGGAATTTGGTATACGTTTTAGTTGAAGTAAACGTGCATGGAAATAATTTAAATATTTGACACTAAGTATTTGTTATGTTTTCGGTATGAATTCGTTGGTGACGTTTATAATATAATAGATGTTTTAGAGGTAAAAGTTTTTGGATATTTTATATGTGGAAATGTTCATATTTGGAAAGGGTATATACTTTTTCGGGATCAGGTAATTTCATATATGTTCTTTTTACCGGGTTTAAAGATTCAGAAAATTGTCATGTATTTTCGTGAAATTTTTCTAATTTATGAGAAAAAAGCAGTGTACATGGATATAGTGAAGAGTGTGCGCAATGCCATTTTTGTGCAATTCTGGGATGTTTTTTTAAGTAAAAATAAGTCGACGTGTACATGGTTTATGTGTATGTGTTATTTTGAAAAACGCGTAAGGAGTATGGTATTGTGCAATTTTTTCTAATTTTGCAGTGAATATTTGTCATGATTAAGCAGTTTTGTTAGATAAAATTTCTAGCATAAGTGTAATTCGGCTAGTAGATTGTTGGAAGAAGTGTTCAGTAGATAAAAAGATAAGAAACATGTCTTTACTTCGTGAAGACAAAATGGCGGCGGGAAAAAAAATAGAGGGTTGCTGTAAGAGAGTTGGTCGCCAAAAAATCACCAAGTTACCATAATGTAAAGATCAACTGAAATGTTTAATAAAGTAAACAAATAAATATTAAGCTTTTTTTTTTTGTAAATTTTGATACCCTTTATATCATAACTGCTCATTATTTTATAAATTACGATTTCATATTTTTAATTTTATAATTTCTGCATGCCATCTTACCTGATTTAAACTGATGATCTATAATCCGGAATCGCCAAAGTCCCGATGAGTCCGGATTAAAGACTTTTGACTGTACTATTTTTCGCAAATAAATGTTCAAAACCTTCTTCTCCTAAATACTTGTAGAATTTCCAGCCACCAGAAAAAATAGTTGTACCAGGCATGCGACTAAAATTTTGCTATTGCATCATAAATACCATACACCACACAAACCAACTAGCAACTGAAACCACTACAGTAAAATCCAGGTTTTCACGTAAAAAAGGTTGCCATAGAAACCAACATAGTCCCCAAAACCATGGCACAACGCGCAATCGTGCCCAAAACCAGCGCAAAACTCATGTTGCAGCATTTGGCGAACTGAGGGTGCATATAAGAGTATTACCTTTATTATTAATATTATATAATAATCAATTCTTTAATTATTTGTATAATACTATTGAAACATTTCTGAGTTAATGATAGAAACATGCAGAAGGTATCAAGTATAGGATACTCTTCTGTTATCAGGACTGAATTCAGAAATTTATGTAAGTGCATATGTATGTGTATACACATACATACATATATGCATGGACATCCATACACACATGCATATATAGAGGGTCTACATTTTCTGAATCTGGTCCCTATGACAGAAGAGCAGCAACTATGGCTTTTAAAATTAGCAAACTCAAATGATTTCAGGCAGCTTTTATCAAGTACATCATCTCCTTTATTCACGTCATTGTTCTATTTTAACCTAGCTTTTGATAAATAAAAACTTGTATCATGTTCATAAAAACATTTCAAAATATTGTTTATGTCATTGAAATTGCTACTAACTTCTAATCATTTTAATATGATTGCTTCAAAGTCACGTTCACTTTAATATGTGCACTTTTAAGATGGTTTTTGTCCATTATCCTTAGTGGGGAGGATATGATGATAGGACTGATTGTTATTCTCGAGCATCAAGTTTGTGATACAAAATGCAAGCAAGATTCCTTTCTAAGTAGTCTATAAGACTAATAGGTGTTTCTATTTGAAATACCAGAAGAACATATAATTATTTTAGTTTTCAGCATTCTTATGTTCCCAGATGTTCTAAAAATGATATTCCCCCCCTAATGGTTGGGCACTTACCTATGTCGGCATTGGCCACTCCTTAGGCCAGATGGGGTGGTCTCTTTATTATGAAGGCACCTAGTAGGAAGGCCATGATTGCATCCTATGAAGGGAATGGACAATTTCTACATCCATGCCTTCTCCGGGATTCGAACCCGGGCTGTTCGGTATCGCAGGCAGGCTCACCTAACCACTATACCATTTTGGCAGCTGTAAAAATTATGTTTAACATTATTTATTTTTTCTTAACTCTTTAATGGTTTTTTAAGGTTTTAATAAGTTAAGCATGGATTGATATTGTGTCAAACAAAAGTCAAATTATGTTAGCTTTTCATTACACATACTTAAGGATAAGAAAGTTTTCTTTTTTGTAGCAGCTTTGATGAGAGAAAAAGGCGTTGGTGCAATTTGGGCTTAAGTACATGCAATTTATTGCCGAATGTTAAACATCTACAAAAATGAAATTTTGTTAAATGATTAATCGACAATTTATTTGATATCTTTATAATATAAGTTATATAATTCATACATATAGAAGAAATTTAATATAAATTTATATTTATTATAGTATTTAATATAATTTTGTCCACAGTTTTTAGTAAATAACGGCATAATTCAGCAGAGCTTATTTAATATCTACATTAATTATCATGTTTAGTATAATTATGTAAGCAGTTTCTTTAAAATTATATGAACATACCAAAAACTATATTTATTATTGAACAAACTAGAAAATTATTATTTTATTTAATACAATTAATTTTTTATAAAAAATTGTACTTATTATTTTATTTAATACAATTAATTTTTTATAGACTCTGGTGGCCATAGTTCAACAATTGTTGCTAATAATGCCTCAAACATCTACTATAGGTTCTTTTTTCATTGATGGAAGATTGAAATAAGTAAATATAATGAGTATTTTACGATGAAAAATAAATATATTATTCAGTGCATACAAAAAAAATTATATTATTAACCATTTGTTTCTTATAAATGCCAAGATTCTGGTACGTCTGCAGATCGGTAACCATTTGTTTGTTGCCAGTGTGTAATCCAATTTCACCGAGGCTGCTGCACAAGACAAGGACCAGAGTTTCTTTAATAGATGCAGTTATTAACTCAAAAAAAAAAAAGAAAAGAAAAGAATACCATGGATTGGGGGGGATGCCGCCTTAGTTAATGTAGTGGTTAGCTGAGACAGCTGATGTGCCACTGGTTTGAATCTTGGAGATGGCATGAATGTTTATGTTTGCCTATCCCCTTTATGAGAATTTTTTTCCAATGGTGGACACTTGCCTATAAAGGCAGTGGCCACTACTAAGGCCAGAAGTGGGGCCATTTTATTGTGGAGGTTCCTAATAGACAACCACTGTTACCTTCATACAAACAACAGCCTCCATGAAAACAACCATATCTCATTTGCAATCTTCTTCTTCTTCTTCAATGGCCAGACAGCCCAGGATGGGCCTTTGCCTTCCTCAGAATCGAATTCCAAGCTCTTCTTTCCCTTGCCATGGACATCCATTTGGTTATTTTTAAAATTCTAAAGTCTATTTCCAAACAGTCGAGCCACCTAAGTTTAGGTCTCCCTCTTTTTTGGATGCCAAATGGTCTTGCCAAGAAGATCTTTTTATTTACTCGATTTTCATCCGTTCTGCACAGGTGTCCTGCCTATTTAATTCTCTAAATCCTTATATATTTTACTATGTCTATTTCTTTAAAGGATTTATAGAGTTCAAAGTTAGTTCTTCTTCTCCAGATATTGTTACATTTTATGCTACCAAAAATACTTCTCAAAATTTATCTTTCAAAGACAGAATAAGAAAGGAAAATTATGATTAAATCTTTAAAAGTTATTCTCATACATATAAATCTGTGTTTTAATTAATCATTTAATATGAGCAAAAGTCTCCTTTCTTATTCTGTAGGTGATGAACAGCAATAAATATTTTAAAATATCTCTATAAATCAAATGAAGAAATGATACTTTTAGCTTTTTCTGTCTTTACCCAGGTCTCAGCAGAGTATGTAAGAATGGGTCTGATTAAGCTTTTGTAAATTAAAATCTTCGTTTTTCTGCTAAGAAAGTTAGACTTCAAGTACTTTTTGAAACCAAAAAAAAAAACATCGGTTAGCATCTGTGACTCTACTATGGATCTCGGGCATTAAATCATTGAGAGTATTGACTTCTGATCCTAAATATTTAAATTTTCTAGCAGTTTCAAATTTGTAATTCCCAATTTCAAAATAGGGGTTGGCATGTATTTTTTATTACCACATGGCATGTATTTTGTTTTATTTTGGTTGATTGCTAGATGCATTTTGCTGGCTGCAGCCTCTAGAGATGTAAAAACCTCTCTAAGTGACTCGGGAGTGCGTGCATTTATGTCAATATTATCAGCAATTGCAAAAATCTGAACAGACTTGTTGAAGATAGTTCCACGAGTATTAATGTTGGAGTCTTTTATGATTTTTTGGAGGGCAAGGTTAAAAAGCAAGCAGGCCAGTGCATCACCCTGTCTGTGAGCCCATTTGAAACAATAGGCTCAGAAAGATTATTCTGTATTTTAACCCTAAGTTTTGTCTCAGTAAGTGTAGTAGTGGTAGACTAAATTTATAAGTTTTTCAGGTATTTCAAATTCTCTCATAGCTTCAATTAAATATTTTCTGTTTAACTGAATCCTAGGCAGTCTCAAAATCAACAAAAAGGTGGTGTGTTGCAATGTCATATTCATTAGTTTTTTCCAAAATTTGCCTAATGTTAAAGATTTGTTCTGCTGTAGATCTTCCTTTGCAGAAGCCATATTGGTAATCACTTGCTGTAGATCTTCCTCTGCAGAAGCCACATTGGTATTCACCTACAATATTTTTTGTATAAGTTATTAGTCTACTAAAAAGTATATTGGAAAATAGTTTGTAGAAAGCATAAAGGAGACTGATTCCCGTGTAGATGGTACATTCCAAAATGTCTCCTTTTTTGTGTATAGGACAGGTAATGCTCAGTTTCCAATCTTCGGGTAAAACTTCTTGATTCCAAACTGATTCGAGGAGGTGGATCTTATTTGCAATAGCTGTGGCTTTATTTGTTGATGGATAAAGATATATATTTCAAGGAAATCTTCTGTTGTAAAATAAGACTATCTCCAAACACAACCATCAATTGGAGAATTGCTACCAAGAAATGTGTGTCTCCACTGGAAAAAGATGAATATAAAAAAATAGACAGAACAGGATTGTTGAAATATAGGTAAGGTTATCTGATCAAATGTTTCTCTTCAGTGCTGGCAATGAGTTCCCGAATTTTCAGTGGGGATGGGAATGATCAGAATGTGTAATGCTTTATTTTAGCCACAGCCTATCAATAAAATGCACATCAGTGAGCTTCATATTTGTATAGTGATGCATAGTGCTTCATATTTACATGGAAAAGGATTATTTACTAGACCAGAATGCTTTTACTTGCCTCTGAGCAATGCGTTATTCAACCTCAACATGCCATTTCTGCTCATACATCCAATTACAAAATTTCCACTCTCCATTAACTTTAAAATTTTTACCAGATATTTTTTAATCACCCTATACATGATATTTCTATTGCTTGTCTGCATTAGTTGTAATTTAGTATTTTTTCTTGGATATTTATTTATTAATCAAGTAATTATGAATTTTTTAATCATTTATTTTAGGAGCTACACTAACATCTTGGATCTCTCAGGGCAAAGGAATATTATTTGTCAGGTATTGATTATTCTTGAGCAATATATTTTTCTGAATAAAAAAAGGAGAGAGTATTTTGTTTTTAAATAATAAGTTTTTAATAAGTTTTAAATAATAATTTTGTTTTTTAAATAATAATTTTTTTAATAAGTTTTTGATTGTCAGTATTCATTTTGGTGGTATTAAAATTTTAAAAAAGGTTTCAAACTAAGCTTTAATTAGCTATGGAAAAAATTATGATTAAATCTTTAAAAGTTAGATATTCCCATACATATAAATCTGTGTTTTAATTAATCATTTAATATGAACAAAAGTCTTTCTTATTCTGTATGTGATCAAGAGCAATAAATATTTTAAAATATCTCTAGAAATCAAATTTTGCAAAACTAATTAAGACTTTTGTCATTAAATTGTGTTTACTAAACTTTTTTCGTTTATTAAATGGCTGCCCATGAGAAAATAATTTTCATGAAAAACTAATTTAATTTTTATATTCTGAAAATAATCTTTCTACCTCCACCATTGCCGTTCCTACTTTTGCACTATAACAGATTTTAGCTCTAAATTTCCTTAGAAGTTTAGGAGATAGAATATTATTTATTGCACATTATGTTCCATAATAAAAACAGAACAATTCATTTTAAATTTTATGTTAAGATATCAATTTTTGGAAATATTAATTGGGCAAGTAGGGTTGAAATACTCAAATAATATAAGTATAGTGTCTTAATATATACTGAATAACATAAAAGAGTGGGCCAATTAGTGGGTTACCACTGTGTTGAGTGGCAGCAAGTAGCGCATCTGACTCCTTATAGTGATTAGTACATTTGCGAGTTTGTGTAATAAATACTGCATTATTGAACTCAAAATGTATTTATTACAATTATGAGAAGCTCTTTACAAATATATATAATTCATGGCTAGCATAGAACAGTATTGAAGTGAATTACAGTCCTCGTGATGTGAGGAACCTGCTAACAAGGATCTTTCTATTCGAGAGTTCTAGTGCTTTCTAGGTCTCTCTAGTCAAAATTTCAGGAGCCTTCTGAGGTATTGTTCTGATAGAAAGATTCTTCAGACTGAATCACCATTGGGGTGACTGGTGGGTTACCACTATGTTGAGTGTGGCGACAGGTAACGCATCTGAATTCTTATAGTGATTATTACATTTGGGAGATTGCATAATACTTACTGCATTTACTGAACTCAAAACATATTTATTACAATTACGAGAAGCTCTTTGCAAATGTATATAATTCATGGATAGTATAGAATGGTATTGAAGTGAGTTACGGTCCTCATGATGTAAGGAACCTGCTAACAAGGGTCTGTGTAGTCGAGAGTTCAAGAGCATTCTAAGTCTCTCTAGTCGAGAGTTCAGGAGCCTTCTGAGGTCTTGTTTCAGTGGAAAAAATCTTCAGACTGAATTAGCCACGCCTCCTTAATCTTACAATAGTATTTTACATCCTCTGATTCATTATATCTGGAACGATATCAGAGGAAAAACAAAATCATTGTTTCATCAACCCCCCGAAATCGATAGGCTTTAACCACAACACAGTGCAGAACGATAAAATCTCCTGACACTAGTCGTGAAGTTATGTCTCTTAAACTGTCAACTGGAATGAATTATTGCATTTGCGATGTCGGAAACATGTTGTGTGACACATCGTAAAAGTTTGGAAACAGTGACTTGCAGGGACCAGACACACAATTTTCTCATCTCTGTGTTGTCCGCCGCAAGTTAACCAATGATTGAGATTTGGGGGGGGGGATCTGCTCATGAATAACTAAATTTATATAATTACTTAATTTACATTTTATTCTCATAATCTTTTATTTATTGCAATAATATTTAGATCGTGATAGAAATGAAAAAAAATAAAATATGGTACTCTGCTGTTATCGGGACCGAATTCAGAAATGCATGTATGGATGGATTAATCTGCATATATGTATATATGTACATATATATATATATATATATATATATATATACTAAAGAAATACTGATTATATTATCTCCCAATATAAATTCAGTAGAAGTATCAAAAAAGAGGGAACCCATGTAAACTAAGATGTAAACTATGAAGAAAACGCCCTACGGGGACTTGAATTTAAATCATGAATGACAAAATTTCAAACTTTCAAAAAGAAATTAAAATTAAAAACAAGTAATTATTCCTATTAATCTGAAAATGTTCACTTTTCAAGGGGAACAAACCAACTCCTGTTCAGTGAACAATAATTAATAAATGCGAGGTGTTTCGTCTTTTACTCGAGTAAAAATCAAGTAAAAATGATGATGCCAAACTGGCAAATTAAGTTAGACCAAAATTGTAGTTCCGTGAAGTGATGGGATTTATAATTAAAGTAGAGTACCAAAGAACTCATTCTGAATGAAGCATTTTTGCTAATACTACAAGATTCTTTATACATTTTGAGTGAAAAGCAATTTATGTAGTAAAATTTACAAAATACTTGAGTAAATGTCCCCCAACACCTTCGCTTTTATGCATGTTAATTTAAGACTATTTGTATAAAAATAAACAGTAGTAATCTTAATTAGAATTATGAAATAGAACTCAAAGGAATTGAAATAAATTTGAGAAAATTAAGAAACATAACAATGCTATCTTTGCAAAAACAAATCAAATAAAAATTGAAAAAATGAAATATATATAATAAGAAAGTAAAATGTGAGATGTACATGAAGATATAAAATTTTCTTTTTCAAAGTTTGAAATTTTGTTATTCATGATTTAAATTAAAGTCCCTGTAGAGCGTTTTTTTCATAGTTTACATTCATGTTACTTTGGAACACAATTTTTGGAATTGGACTTCCTACATATGGGTTCCCTCTTTTTTGATACTTCTAATGAATTTATATTGGAGATAATATAATCAATATTTTAGTAAATAAATTACTATTATCTTACTTTGCAGCTATTGCGCAAGTATTAGAAAAACTTGTTTTCGAACTAAGTGAATTTTATATAAATATATATATATATGCATATTATGGACACATTCATGCACACACGCATATATACACATATTTCCGAATCCAGTCCCGATAACAGATTAGTACCTAGAATATGTTCTCTTGTTATTTAATATATATGTATAAGAAAAAATAATTATGAGTAATTTAAAAAGCTAAAAACTTGCGCTAAAGCTGGTAAGTAATAAACCAATAGTTTATTATTAGAAAAGGTATTTATGTCTCATCTCCAAGGAAAAGAAATTAACTCAATTTCTATGAATCTCTCAAAGCTATGAATTACCGTATTTGACGGCATATAAGACGCACTTTTTTTCCTAAATTTGGTCTCAAAAACGTTACCTGCATCTTATACGTGAAGGACACAGTTTTATACGTGAAGGTAATTGCATTCAATAATTGTTTATTTGGCTTTTACGAAAGGTGAGAACTAAAAGAAACCACGCTATTGAAACTTTTTTCCCTTTTGTGTGCCGTCTAAATAAGGGTGCATCTTATATGCCATCAAATACGGTATATGAAAAAATTTTAATAAGTATTTTAAGTAGCTTTCCAAGTCAATAGCCAAAGTTATCTAGAATTCTATTGTAGTAAAAATAATTTTAAATCTCTATAGAAAAATCCTTTAACCATAAAAATTCCAAATATTAAATTCAAAATGTACTGAAAAAGTAGTTACTGTCATTGATTGTAGATTGATTTGCCAAGGGGAACAAATCAATCTACTATCAATTAACAATAACCAAATCAAGTGAAAGTGTTTTGTCTTTTTTCAAATTAGGATCAGATTGGTTATTTTGTTAGAGTTAGATAATAACTAAGAACAATACTCAATTGTTAGAAAGATATTAGTCTACTTAAGCCAAACAGTTTTTTTATCATAAACAAAAATCTAAAATAAAAATGAGTAAGAATTTTTTATGAATTTAAGGTATTCGTTAAGAACTGAATTAGACGAGATCCTTATTTTAGAAAAAATATTTCCCGACATTCTCATAGTATTGTAAGAACAACAAATAACTGCCGACATGTGTACAAATTAATATATATAAAAGAAGATATTAATAGAAAAATGTATAAATGAATATATTATTTTAGATTAAAACTTTCTTTTAGAATCAATTCAAAATCAAAAGTAATATATATATAGCAACAGTAAAATAGCTTGACTGCATTAATGTTGTCATACCACTCAAATGATTTATAAATTTTAATGTCTGGAAACATAAAAAGAAAAAAACAAAAAATTTTAACATAATTTATATAAAAAAAGAAAATTTAGATTAAAACTAACTTATAAAGAAGAAAATTTAATTCGTGAGTTAGAAATTTCCTTCTTAATCAAACTAATTAATATATTTTGTATTTTTTGTGTACTAAAATAAATTTTATATTGATTTCCCCCCCCCTTAGAGGAGGAGGAGGATTAAATGTTATTTTTCTTTATAATTATTTTTCTCCTAGTTTTTAAATTGTGAAATATTATTATTCATCGTGTCCTTTAAATAAGGAGTCTGTTAAACTAAAGCCACTGTTTTATAAACCTTACTTTATTGTTATTAGTTCTAGTAATTGTTAAAATATTTTTTCAAGATACACAAATTTTGAATTTAAATAATCAGAATGTGAGTTTAGCATATTTATAAAATAATTTCTTACAATTTCCTGTTCTTAAATTGAGCTATAAGTGAAATTTTTCATTTCTTTGTAAATTCATTGTTAAATTTCAGAGAACTGTCATAGTTTTTGGGGGCATTTTCAAGTATACTTGCTACAGTAGCCAAACTATGTATATGTATGCTACATACATGTTTTATATTTAATCATCATTTTCCTGAACAATATCCACAATATGCAAATAGTGGGCATGTGTCCCCCCATCTCGGAAAATTTCTTAGTTCTTGTAATATACCATGCTGCTTGTTTTTTTATTATTATTATTTATTTTATTTTTTAATTTATGAACGGAATGGTTTATTACCTATAAACATAGCCAAATGAACACTTTTCACTA